TTAGTTCTCCATGTATCCTCTCCTCCATATGGTTCCTTGTTCTTCTAGTATATCCTTCCATTATTGAAGTCCCCCATGATGAGCAGATGGGATCATTTTCTACACGCAGCAGACGCTGCCCTCTCAATTAGAATGTTAACTGCTATGTTGTTGTTGTCATACTCTTGCCTGGGTCTTCTGTCATTTGGTGGAGGGTTATGTATCACTGCTACTACTACTCTTGGTCCTCCCATCCTCATGGTGCCTGTTATGTAGTCTCTGAATCCCTTGCTGTTTGGGATAACCATCTCCTTGAAACGAGATGGCTTGGGGGAGTGGGGGTAGAAGGGAGGACTTGGGGGGGGGAAGAGGAGGGGATGGGGTCATGGGGGACAGAAGAGGAGGGAGGGCTTGGGGGGTGGGGAGGATGGGAGGAAGGGCTTAGTGGGGTGAGGAAGAAGGGAGAGCTTAGGGGAGTGGGGGGAGATGGGAGGGCTTGGGGGGAGGAAGGAAGGTCTTGTGGAGAGGGGGGAGTGGGGAGAGGGTGCCCTAGGTGAGCACTTAGTGGGGGGCGTGCAGGGGTTGGGACAGGTAAGGCGTTTATTGGGAGGAAGGTGGGGGTGCTGCTCCTCTCATTGTGTCTGTTGAACTGATTGTAGAGGGTTCCCCACTCCCCTCTGGGATTGAGGGGATTGTGTGCAGAGGTTGTGGTTCTCTGATTCATTTCTTTCTCCCTGCTCTCCATTTTCATGGCTGCTTCCCTTGTTCTCTCGTCCTTTGTCATATCCTTCTGCAGGAATACTTTTGTGAACTTCGGTACATATACTAGTCCACTCTTTCTTGCTAACAGGTCCTCTTGTGTGTTCTTGCTTGTGAATACTACCTTTATCAATCAGTCTCTGGCCTTGTTGTACTGTCCAAGTCCGAAAACCTTTTCAATATTCTTGTCAGCCCTCTCCATCTTTACCTCTTTAAGGATCTCATTAACTGCGTTTTTGTCCTAGTCTCTCCACTCTGCTGGACTGCTCCCTGTTTGCTCCTACTACTACTACTGCTGCTCTTTTTTGCTCTATCAGCCTGCTAATACATCTAGCTGCTTCCTGAGAAGAAGAACATGACAACTTCCCTTACTGCAGACTTACTTCAGGGTTCTTTTTCAACAAGTCTGCAAATGAGGGTTGTATTGTAGAAGTCTCCTCTACAGGAACATTACCATCTCCCAAAGAGGTGGTTTGTGTCTGGTATTGAGTAGGATTCTCTTAGAGGCTTCTTATTTCCTCCTTTGCTGCCTTCAGTTCATCCCGCAGGTTGGTTACTTTCTCACTCATTTCCCTCAGTTTTTTCCTGAATTGACTCCACATTTGTTCGATTGTTTCCCTAATTCAGGCATTCTGTCATCATATCTTCATTTGAAACTGTGTATGGAGTCAGCCTTCACCACATCACTGCTTAATGCATTCCATCTGTTAAATACTCTGACACTGAAAAAAAATTCTAATGTCTCTGTGGCTCATCTGGGTACTCAGTTTCTACCAGTGTCCCATGGTTCGTGTTCCACCCGTGCTAAAGAGTTTGTCTTTGTCAACCCTGTCAATTCCCCTTAGAATTTTGTAGGTGAATATCAATGCTTCCCTTACTCCTCTGTTTTCCAGGGACGTGAGGAGCAGCTCCCTTATCTTTTCCTCGCAGTTCATACCTCTCAGGTCTGGAGCTACTCTGGTGGCTTACCTCTGAATCTTCTCTAACTTAGTCTTGCGTTTAACTAGGTATGGACTCCAGGCTGGAGCTGCATATTCCAGGATTGGTCTGACATAGGTGGATTACAGTGTCCTGAACGATTCCTTACACAATTTTCTAAATGCAGTTCTTATGTTGGCCAATCTAGTATTACCGCTGATGATGTTCTTTTGATGTGGGTCTCTGGGGACAGGTTCGGTGGGATATCAACCTCCCACCCACCAGATCTTCCTCTCTGTTTAATTCTTGCAAGATCTCACCTCCCAGATGGTACCGTGTGTTCAGCCTTCTGCTCCCTTCGCCTAATTTTATTGCTTTGCACTTTCCTGAGGTGAATTTTAGTAGCCATTTTCTAGATCATTCCTCCAGTTTGTCCATGTCGTCCTGTAATCTCTGTCTATCTTCATCTGTCTTTATTCTTCTCATAATTTTTGCATCATCAGCAAACATTGAGAGGAATGAGTCTGTACCCTCTGGAAGATTGTTTTCATATATTAGAAACAGAATGGGTCCAGGTACAGAGCCTTGTGGGACTCTGCTCGTGACATCTCGCCATTCTGATGTCTCCCCCCTTCACAGTTAATCATTGTTTACTGTTGCTTAGATACTCTCTAATCCACTGGAACACTTTATCTTCTACTCTTTCCTGTTGCTCCAACTTTTGTAGCATCTTTTTATGGGGTACTGTGTCAAAGGCTATCTGACAGTCCAAGAAAATGAAGTCTTCCCAGCCATCTCTTTCTTGCCTAATTTTTGTCGCTTGGTCATAGAAATCCATTAAACCTTTGAGGCACGATTTACCGTCTCTGAACCCATGTTGGTGGTGTGTTACAAAGCTTTTTCCCTCCAGATGCTTTACGAGTCTTTTCGGCACGATCTTCTCCATCACTTTCCATGGTATACAAATTAGAAAAACTGGCCTGTAGTTCAGTGCCTCTTGCCTGTCAAGAGGCCCTTTCTGTATATTGGGACTCCATTAGCTGTCTTTTAGCTTTTCGGTAGGTCTCCTGTTTCCAGTGAACTGTTACACACCATAGAGAGTGGCACACTCAGTGCTTTTGCACCTTCTTTTAGTATCCACGGTGAGATTCTGTCAGGGCCAACAGGTTTTGTCACGTTCAGCTCAAAAAGATTCCTTTTGACCTCATCACTGAAGAGGTCAAAATCCAGCAAGGTTACTTGGTTTGTCTCCCCTCATCTAGTGCAGGGGGTCTCTCCTTGTTCTATTGTGAAGAGCTCCTGGAATCTCTTGTTGAGTTCATTACACGCCTCCTTGTCATTCTCAGTGTATCTGTTCCCTCCTTTTCTCAGTTTCATCACTTGTTCATTCACTGCTGTTTTCCTCCTGATGTGGCTGTTTTGGTTGGGTCTTATCATTACTCGCGATGTCATTTTCATACTGTCTCTCCCTGAAAGGGAGCAGCCACCACCTGAGGTCCACTGTGTGTGTGTGTGTGTGTGTGTGTGTGTGTGTGTGTGTGTGTGTGTGTGTGTGTGTGTGTGTGTGTGTGTGTGTGTGTGTGTGTGTGTGTATTCACCTAGTTGTATTCACCTAGTTGTGTTTGCGGGGGTTGAGCTTTGTTCTTTCGGCCCGCCTCTTAACTGTCAATCAACTGTTTACTAACTACACTAACTACTTTTTGTTTTCACACCACACACACACACACACACACCAGGAACCAGCCCGTGACAGCTGACTAACTCCCAGGTACCTATTTACTGCTAGGTAACAGGGGCATTCAGGGTGAAAGAAACTTTGCCCATTTGTTTCTGCTTCGTGCGGGAATCGAACCCGCATGTGTGTGTGTGTGTGTGTGTGTGTGTGTGTGTGTGTGTGTGTGTGTGTGTGTGTGTGTGTGTGTGTGTGTGTGTATGTGTATGTGTATGTGTATGTGTGTGTGTGTGTGTGTGTGTGTGTGTGTGTGTTTACTAGTTGTGTTTTTGCGGGGGTTGAGCTTTGCTCTTTCGGCCCGCCTCTTAACTGTCAATCAACTGTTTACTAACTACTTTTTTTTTTTTTTTTTTTTTTTTTTCCCACACCACACACACACACACACACACCCCAGGAAGCAGCCCGTGACAGCTGACTAACTCCCAGGTACCTATTTACTGCTAGGTAACAGGGGCATTCAGGGTGAAAGAAACTTTGCCCATTTGTTTCTGCCTCGTGCGGGAATCGAACCCGCGCCACAGAATTACGAATCCTGCGCGCTATCCACCAGGCTACGAGGCCCCTAGGGTGTGTGTGTGTGTGTGTGTGTGTGTGTGTGTGTGTGTGTGTGTGTGTGTGTGTGTGTGTGTGTGTGTGTGTGTGTGTGTGTGTGTGAGTGTGTGTGTGTGTATGTGAGTGTGAGTGTGTGTGTGTGTGAGTGTGTGTGTGTGAGTGAGTGTGTTAGCATCAGAGCAGCCAACCTGTGTAGAGGTTGTCTGTTCTTGTTACTCTTGTATGTATTTTATATTGTTCGTTCGTTGTGTAGTTGTACATCTGTATATGTTCGAGAGTTGTTTAGTTACTTTAGAGTATTTTATGCTTCCTTTTCATTACTGTGAGAGGGTTTATTATACATAATTATGTTGGTATTGTTTAGCTGACCTGTGGGGGCAGACGAGCAGGAAGACTTCACTGGTCTGTAGGGTGTTGTCGTGGTTGTCGTGCGGTGGTCTACTCTGTTGGCCCATTGTATTTATGGGAAATATTTTCTTTTTACCGGGTAAAGTTAGAAGGGATTATTATGTGGATCATTGTTTCATAAGTGTTATTACAATTTTTTCAAATTGTAACTCTTGTGGTGAAGTAACTTACATTTGGACTTTATGTGGAGACTTAGTCATTTGCCAGTCAAGTTGGGAATTAGTTTTCTGAAGGCAAAGTGATAGTTCACTGACTTGTGTCATCGATGTTCATGGCGAGACATTACCCCCGCACTATGCGTATGTAACGTCACCACCCACCTTGTCCAGAACTTGCCTGTCAGTCCCACGCTGTCTAGTGTACCCCATGTTGTTAAGTTAGTTTTGCTTAGTGACATCTGGCTGCTGTGAGTTGTGCTTTGTGTTAACTTAATTGATTTATAATTACTTTATCGTGGCTATATAATTATTGAATATATAAGCTGTGTCATGAAGATAATTTTGTCCCAGTAAACTGGTGGTTTTACGTAGACTTTCACTCAAACCAAGACATATATATATGACTTATTTAAGGTCAGGAGACTCACAGGGTAAGGGGAGAAAGTTCTCCACCAGGAGTCTTACTGGCGGATCATGACATAACAAGCGCCCACCTGATAGTTGCCAAGAGGAGCGTCTGTGGGTAACGACATGGAGAACTGGAGGTTGTGTAGCTGGCCAGGCAGCCAGCTCCTCAGGTCCGCGCCACCAAGTGCAGACACGTACTCAGTCTCGGTGCTCCCGTGACGCAACACTAACTGCAACACCAACCACATTCTTAGTGACGTTGGCAGCAAATATCTATTTGCTTATCAATATCACTGGAATCATTAATTAAATGGTAAGTTACAACAAAAATTTTAATGAACAAATATGTTAGTAACGGATCAATTATGTAAATGTACGAAGTAGTTAAGAAATTCAGTATGAGTATCTTAACGAACCTTTAGCGAACAGTGTAGAGTGTATGACCGCAATGAACATCAGGCAACGACTTGAGAAAGTTGACATCATATACACGCAATAAAATTATATAATTGACTTACAATTCAATGCTTCAGAGTAGCAGTCCCTCAACCACTCCAACTTGGAACTGGTTTGAGATCTTGCCTAGGCTTCCCACATGAAAAAACAGAGCTCTGTGACACAGCAGAGCTACAGGATAAAAAGAGCTCTGTGACACAGCAGAGCTACAGGATAAAAAAAAGCTCTGTGACACAGCAGAGCTACAGGATAAAACAGAACTCTGTGACACAGCAGAGCTACAGGATAAAAAAGAGCTCTGTGACACAGCAGAGCTACAGGATAAAACAGAGCTCTGTGACACAGCAGAGCTACAGGATAAAACAGAGCTCTGTGACACAGCAGAGCTACAGGATAAAACAGAGCTCTGTGACACAGCAGAGCTACAGGATAAAACAGAGCTCTGTGACACAGCAGAGCTACAGGATAAAACAGAGCTCTGTGACACAGCAGAGCTACAGGATAAAACAGAGCTCTGTGACACAGCAGAGCTACAGGATAAAACAGAGCTCTGTGACACAGCAGAGCTGCAGGATAAAACAGAACTCTGTGACACAGCAGAGCTACAGGATAAAACAGAACTCTGTGACACAGCAGAGCTGCAGGATAAAACAGAACTCTGTGACACAGCAGAGCTACAGGATAAAACAGAACTCTGTGACACAGCAGAGCTGCAGGATAAAACAGAACTCTGTGACACAGCAGAGCTACAGGATAAAACAGAGCTCTGTGACACAGCAGAGCTACAGGATAAAACAGAGCTCTGTGACACAGCAGAGCTACAGGATAAAACAGAGCTCTGTGACACAGCAGAGCTACAGGATAAAACAGAGCTCTGTGACATGGCAGAGCTACAGGATAAAACAGAGCTCTGTGACACAGCAGAGCTACAGGATAAAACAGAGCTCTGTGACACAGCAGAGCTACAGGATAGTACAGAGCTCTGTGACAAAGCAGGGCTATAGGATTGTACAGAGCTCAGTTACACGGCACGGCAACATGATAGAACAAGACTCTGTGACACGGCAGGGCTATAGGATAGCACAGAGCTCTGTGACACAGCATGGGGCATAGGTTAGAACAGGGCAGCCTCTTGTTGGCACACCACCAACAGTGTAGGAGAGCAGCCAGCACCATCATGCCACACCACCAACAGTGTAGGAAAGCAGCCAGCACCATCATGCCACACACCACCAACAGTGTAGGGGAGCAGCCAGCACCATCATGCCACACCACCAACAGTGTAGGGGAGCAGCCAGCACCATCATGCCACACCACCAACAGTGTTGGCGAGCAGCCAGCACCATCATGCCACACACCACCAACAGTGTAGGGGAGCAGCCTGCACCATCATGCCACACACCACCAACAGTGTAGGAGAGCAGCCAGCACCATCATGCCACACACCACCAACAGTGTAGGAGAGCAGCCAGCACCATCATGCCACACCACCAACAGTGTAGGGGAGCAGCCAGCACCATCATGCCACACCACCAACAGTGTAGGCGAGCAGCCAGCACCATCATGCCACACACCACCAACAGTGTAGGGGAGCAGCCAGCACCATCATGCCACACCACCAACAGTGTAGGGGAGCAGCCAGCACCATCATGCCACACACCACCAACAGTGTAGGGGAGCAGCCAGCACCATCATGCCACACACCACCAACAGTGTAGGAGAGCAGCCAGCATCATCAACAGTGTAGGGGAGCAGCCAGCACCATCAACAGTGTAGGGGAGCAGCCAGCACCATCATGCCACACCACCAACAGTGTAGGGGAGCAGCCAGCACCATCATGCCACACCACCAACAGTGTAGGGGAGCAGCCAGCACCATCATGCCACACACCACCAACAGTGTAGGGGAGCAGCCAGCACCATCATGCCACACACCACCAACAGTGAAGGAGAGCAGCCAGAACCATCATGCCACACCACCAACAGTGTAGGGGAGCAGCCAGCACCATCATGCCACACCACCAACAGTGTAGGAGAGCAGCCAGCACCATCAACAGTGTAGGGGAGCAGCCAGCACCATCAACAGTGTAGGGGAGCAGCTAGCACCATCAACAGTGTAGGGGAGCAGCCAGCACCATCACCAGTGTGGGGGAGCAGCCAGCACCATCATGCCACACCACCAACAGTGTAGGGGAGCAGCCAGCACCATCATGCCACACCACCAACAGTGTAGGGGAGCAGCCAGCACCATCATGCCACACACCACCAACAGTGTAGGAGAACAGCCAGCACCATCATGCCACACCACCAACAGTGTAGGGGAGCAGCCAGCACCATCATGCCACACACCACCAACAGTGTAGGAGAGCAGCCAGCACCATCATGCCACACACCACCAACAGTGTAGGAGAACAGCCAGCGCCATCATGCCACACACCACCAACAGTGTAGGAGAACAGCCAGCACCATCATGCCACACCACCAACAGTGTAGGGGAGCAGCCAGCACCATCATGCCACACACCACCAACAGTGTAGGAGAGCAGCCAGCACCATCATGCCACACACCACCAACAGTGTAGGGGAGCAGCCAGCACCATCATGCCACACACCACCAACAGTGTAGGGGAGCAGCCAGCACCATCATGCCACACACCACCAACAGTGTAGGGGAGCAGCCAGCACCATCATGCCACACCACCAACAGTGTAGGAGAACAGCCAGCAACATCATGCCACACACCACCAACAGTGTAGGGGAGCAGCCAGCACCATCATGCCACACCACCAACAGTGTAGGAGAACAGCCAGCACCATCATGCCACACACCACCAACAGTGTAGGAGAGCAGCCAGCACCATCATGCCACACACCACCAACAGTGTAGGAGAACAGCCAGCACCATCATGCCACACACCACCAACAGTGTAGGAGAGCAGCCAGTACCATCATGCCACACCACCAACAGTGTAGGAGAGCAGCCAGCACCATCATGCCACACACCATCAACAGTGTAGGGGAGCAGCCAGCACCATCATGCCACACCACCAACAGTGTAGGGGAGCAGCCAGCACCATCATGCCACACACCACCAACAGTGTAGGGGAGCAGCCAGCACCATCATGCCACACCACCAACAGTGTAGGGGAGCAGCCAGCACCATCATGCCACACCACCAACAGTGTAGGAGAGCAGCCAGCACCATCATGCCACACACCATCAACAGTGTAGGGGAGCAGCCAGCACCATCAACAGTGTAGGGGAGCAGCCAGCACCATCAACAGTGTAGGGGAGCAGCCAGCACCATCATGCCACACACCACCAACAGTGTAGGAGAGCAGCCAGCACCATCATGCCACACACCACCAACAGTGTAGGGGAGCAGCCAGCACCATCATGCCACACCACCAACAGTGTAGGAGAGCAGCCAGCACCATCAACAGTGTAGGGGAGCAGCCAGCACCATCAACAGTGTAGGGGAGCAGCCAGCACTATCATGTCACACCACCAACAGTGTAGGGGAGCAGCCAGCACCATCATGCCACACACCACCAACAGTGTAGGAGAGCAGCCAGCACCATCAACAGTGTAGGGGAGCAGCCAGCACCATCAACAGTGTAGGGGAGCAGCCAGCACCATCATGCCACACACCACCAACAGTGTAGGAGAGCAGCCAGCACCATCATGCCACACCACCAACAGTGTAGGCGAGCAGCCAGCACCATCATGCCACACCACCAACAGTGTAGGCGAGCAGCCAGCACCATCATGCCACACCACCAACAGTGTAGGAGAACAACCAGCACCATCATGCCACACCACCAACAGTGTAGGCGAGCAGCCAGCACCATCATGCCACACCACCAGCAGTGTAGGAGAGCAGCCAGCACCATCATGCCACACACCACCAACAGTGCAGGCGAGCAGCCAGCACCATCATGCCACACCATCAACAGTGTAGGCGAGCAGCCAGCACCATCATGCCACACCACCAACAGTGTAGGTGAACAGCCAGCACCATCATGCCACACCACCAACGGTGTAGGAGAGCAGCCAGCACCATCATGCCACACCATCAACAGTGTAGGAGAGCAGCCAGCACCATCATGCCACACCATCAACAGTGTAGGAGAGCAGCCAGCACCATCATGCCACACCATCAACAGTGTAGGCGAGCAGCCAGCACCATCATGCCACACCACCAACAGTGTAGGTGAACAGCCAGCACCATCATGCCACACCACCAACAGTGTAGGAGAGCAGCCAGCACCATCATGCCACACCATCAACAGTGTAGGAGGGCAGCCAGCACCATCATGCCACACACCACCAACAGTGTAGGGGAGCAGCCAGCACCATCATGCCACACCATCAACAGTGTAGGAGAGCAGCCAGCACCATCATGCCACACCATCAACAGTGTAGGAGAGCAGCCAGCACCATCATGCCACACCATCAACAGTGTAGGAGAGCAGCCAGCACCATCATGCCACACACCATCAACAGTGTAGGAGAGCAGCCAGCACCATCATGCCACACCATCAACAGTGTAGGAGAGCAGCCAGCACCATCATGCCACACACCACCAACAGTGTAGGAGAGCAGCCAGCACCATCATGCCACACCATCAACAGTGTAGGAGAGCAGCCAGCACCATCATGCCACACACCACCAACAGTGTAGGAGAGCAGCCAGCACCATCATGCCACACCATCAACAGAGTAGGAGAGCAGCCAGCACCATCATGCCACACACCACCAACAGTGTAGGAGAGCAGCCAGCACCTTCATGCCACACACCACCAACAGTGTAGGAGAGCAGCCAGCACCTTCATGCCACACACCACCAACAGTGTAGGCCAGCAGCCAGCACCATCATGCCACACACCACCAACAGTGTAGGCGAGCAGCCAGCGCCTTCATGCCTCACAACCCACAATGGATTTAATTTGATCTAATATTACAAATACTAATTATTGCAAGTAAAATATGCCTTAACTTAGTGCTAAGGTATTAAATAGAATTAATAAGTATATTGCTGATCAACTAAGCCTAACTAACTAGCGTCCCCAAGTAATGTTATAGACTACCTTACTGGAAACTATCCCGGGTCTCTGTACGTAACTCCTGCTAATTCCACTGATGCTAATCATATATTCATTTATCTGAAATTAGTCTAGTTACTTTGATGAAATTCCAGCTCTAATTTACAAAAAAAACTCTAGACTTTTAGCTCAGGCCATTGCAATCCTCTATTACAAATCATTTGAATTTCCAACCTTGCCTGAGATTCTAAAAAAAAACGAAAGTAATCCCAGTCCATAAAAGTGGTGATCTCACTGATGTCAACAATTACAGACCAATATCAACAGTTGGCATTCGTTCTAAAATCCAATATTATGTACCTCGCCCTGCCCTGGTAACGCACTATTACTCTCTCTTCTATCCTTATCTCAATCATGGTATCTGTGATTGGAGTTCTACTACCCAAAATCATCTACGTCATGTAATTAATCAACATAAATCAGCCACTAGAACAATGACAAAGTCTGGCCCCAGACAGCACTCGAATCTTTGAATATGTTAGATATCAAGTTACTCCACATCATGTCAAGTGTACACTATATATTTAAAACTCTGAACTGTGATGCTAATTCTGACCACGTTAGTTAAGAAGGTTTAGGCATTTAAGGGAAGAGTATGTACTCTGAATGGGAAGAGCCAACAGCAACAAAGCCAGGACTAAGGTTCATGTTTGGTATGTTGTGTATCAGAGCTAAGTCGACAAGATGTGGTCTGTGAAGACAGAGGCAGGAAAGAATATTTTAGAAGATGAACAGTCAATAGGATGATTAGAGTCCATAACATGACAGAAGAGAACATTGTTTGTGTCTGCAGACTCAACACTTCTTTTGTGTTCCTTAAGTCTGTCATTCAGTGTACGGCCAGTTTCCCCAAAATACTGGAGAGGACAAGACGAGCAGGAAATAGAGTAGACACCAGCAGCATTAGAAGCAGGAAGAGCAGTGAGAGCCTGATTACTACGGAGAGTGTTAGTTTGTCGTAAGGCAAGCTTTAAGTCAAGAGGACGAAGGGTATTAGTGAGATTTTTGAGCTCAGATATGAAGGGAAGGCAGATCACAGTGGTACTTGTGTTGGAAACAGGTTTGGGATGAAAGAATTGAATATAAATAGCCTGTTGCTTGTATGGGGAAGTGTGACATTAAATAAACCATTAATACAGTTTTCCTTACCTGGGCTGACCGATAATTGATTGGCGCCGCCCAACCGTTGTTGGCTATCTGTATCCCGACCTTCAGCTGACATCCAACAGCTACCTCTGCAGGAAACTGCGCCTGCACGCCCACCAAATTGTATCCCATTGATGACCAAATCTGCCGATAACGAACATTTACTTAATATGTTCAGATCGTAGTCCCTGCGCAATGCATATCTCTTAATACAAATTAGAAAAACAAATGGTTGTCATTGGGTTACACTGTTCAGCAGCAACAAAAACCTTAGTTTCATGATCATACAGATGTTGTTGTTTTAGATTTAGCTAATGGGCTATAGTGAGCCCGTAGTGGATGTTGTTGATGTTTAAGATTTAGCTACTAGGAACAGAAGTTACAAGTAGCACGGGCTATGGTGAGCCCGTAGTGGACATACCCGTAATGGATTTGATCATTCAAGTAAGTACTATCAGTCTGAGGTTAATATGGTGAGGTTCTCTCAAGGCAATATTTCTGTATTGTAATATCGTAGGTTGCTAATTAGTAGAGAGCGCTCTTTATGATGTAAAACCGTAAACATCATTAGGTTGCACCATGTTAGATTATGTTGTGTCAAATTTAATTTGTTAGATATTGAAATCAGGTAATGATCTAGCATGACTACAATATTACTAGTACCTTTTATTTTTTGTTTTGGGATATGAATGCTAAGTTTGCAACATTGCTTCAAACTATTGTTCCTTCCTCATAGCAAGCATGTGAAAAGCACCATTGGAAACAGACGAATAAACCTTCAGACTTCACAACAAATCAACCACAAACAACCTCATAAATGCACCTTGCAATATAAACTAGAAATATTAACTAAATAATACACATGGCATTAAATAATTAATTGACATCTTCTTCGCCAAAACACTATGCCTCTACAACACTCACTGTCCTCTCCTCACCAAGCAAGTAACTGCCAAAAGATTAAACAATCTTTGACTCAGAAATAGCATACTTAAGGAAAATATATTCCACAAATATGTCCGACACAATAAACAAAACAAAACAAATAAACTATATCTGTAAAGTTAGGTGGAAGACAAAAATAAGAACAAAAATATGACAAAAGCAATACATTACATCTGAAAGGTTAGGCTAAAGGTCAAAGAATAAGAACAAATTATATCCAACACAATAAATACACTATGATCAGAAAGAGGTTAGGTTAAAGGGTGAAGAATAAGAACAAATATATCAAACATAATAAATACAACTTTTGAGAGACTTGATGAATTAAAAATAAAAATAAAATACAAAGTGCTTAAACTCACATCTCTAACAAATATTCCATGAACTAAATAAATGTCTATATATATACCAAATACTTTGACAATGCATAAAACACCTATCTTTAACAAAATCTCATGAAATGCATGAAATACCCCATCTTTAACAAATAATCCTTGATGATGCTTTAAATACCCGAACATTAATAAATACGCCTTGAAATGACCAAACACCTATCTTTAACAAAATCCTTCGAAATGCTTAAATACCCTACTTTTAATAAATTCCCTTGAAATGTATAAACATCCATCTTAAATAACCACCCCTTTGAAATGCTTAAAAACCCAGTCTTTAACAAATAAATGAAGAGTTGATGTTTCAGAGGCAGTAAGATGATGCTTTAGGTGAGGTGAGATGCTTTAGATGCTTTATGTTAGGTGAGTTATGTAAGTCAGATAATTTGGTCGGTTGTTGTAAGTTAGGATATATCAGAGCAGAAAAGTTACATTAGGTGAGTTAATTTACGTAAGTTACATCAGGCAAGTTTGGGTAGGTATGGGAGGATACATAAGTTATGTTGGCTTAGGTCATGAATAAACGGAAATACAAGTTGTTACGAAAAGGTGAACTAGTTACTTTAATACTAAAGTTTTGTGAGAGAGTTATTATTATCAGAGATGTGAAACATAGTAAAATGCTGATAATATGCTGGTCTTACTACCTTCGTATTAAGTTGATAGGACTTGTTTTATTCATTTTTACTTGAAGTGTAAGTTTATTAGTGCATAAAGTTGTGCATGTTTAGTTTGATATATTACTTAAAAGTTGTTTGTGACTATATAATGCCGTGTCTTAATAAATTTAGCACAATCTTTAGTTTACATATTGTACAGAAAACGATTATTATTTGAGTATTATTATTTATGTACTATTTGATGTAAAAAGAAGTTCTAAAGAGTAATTCTTTTATATAATTTTGAGTTGAATTATCAATATTTATGGGATTATGGGAGCAGTGACCAATGTCACTGCTCACACTGAGAATCCAGAACCACCTCGGACTTTGGTAATTGATCCTAACGATACTCAGACCATAATAAGCAACTAGGTGTAACCCACCCTGTCATACATCCATGCCCTAGATTACTCCCTCACCCACCCTGTCATACATCCCTGTCCCAGATTACTCTTTCACTCACCCTGTCATACATCTCTACGCCTGATAACACTTCCTCACCCACCCTGTCATACATCCCTGTCCCAGATTACTCCCTAACCCACCCAGTATTACATCCCTTCCACAGATTACTTCCTCTCCTACCCTGTCATACATCCCTGTCCCATATTACTTCCGCCGACCACCCACCCCCGCCCCCGCCCATATATCACAGGCCGTCCCCACGCCCTCTGTCACACACCTCCCCAGTGCCCCCTGCCACACACCTCCCTCACGCCCTCTGCCACACACCTCCCTCACGCCCTCTGCCACACACATCCCCCACGCCCTCTGCCACACACATCCCCCACGCCCTCTGTCACACACATCCCCCACGTCCTCTGCCACACACCTCCCCCACGTCCTCTGCCACACACCTCCCCCACGCCCTCTGCCACACACATCCCCCACGCCCTCTGCCACACACATCCCCCACGCCCTCTGCCACACACATCCCCCACGCCCTCTGACACACGCCCTCTGCCACACGCCCACTGACACACGCCCTCTGCCACACGCCCTCTGCCACACACATCCCCCACGCCCTCTGTCACACACATCCCCCACGTCCTCTGCCACACACCTCCCCCACGCCCTCTGCCACACACCTCCCCCACGTCCTCTGCCACACACATCCCCCACGCCCTCTGTCACACACATCCCCCACGTCCTCTGCCGCACACATCCCCCACGCCCTCTGCCACACACATCCCCCACGCCCTCTGCCACACACATCCCCCACGTCCTCTGCCACACACCTCCCCCACGCCCTCTGCCACACACCTCCCCCACGTCCTCTGCCACACACCTCCCCCACGTCCTCTGCCACACACCTCCCCCACGTCCTCTGTCACACACCTCCCCCACGTCCTCTGCCACACACATCCCCCACGCCCTCTGCCACACACATCCCCCACGCCCTCTGCCACACACATCCCCCACGTCCTCTGCCACACACATCCCCCACGTCCTCTGCCACACACCTCCCCCACGTCCTCTGCCACACACCTCCCCCACGCCCTCTGCCACACACCTCCCCCACGTCCTCTGCCACACACCTCCCCCACGTCCTCTGCCACACACCTCCCCCACGTCCTCTGCCACACACCTCCCCCACGCCCTCTGTCACACACCTCCCCCACGTCCTCTGCCACACGCCCTCTGCCACACACATCCCCCACGTCCTCTGTCACACACATCCCCCACGTCCTCTGCCACACACCTCCCCCACGTCCTCTGCCACACACCTCCCCCACGCCCTCTGTCACACACATCCCCCACGTCCTCTGCCACACACCTCCCCCACGTCCTCTGCCACACACCTCCCCCACGCCCTCTGCCACACGCCCTCTGACACACGCCCTCTGACACACGCCCTCTGCCACACGCCCTCTGCCACACGCCCACTGACACACGCCCTCTGCCACACGCCCTCTGCCACACGCCCACTGACACACGCCCTCTGACTCACGCCCTCTGACACACGCCCTCTGACACACGCCCTCTGCCACACGCCCTCTGACACACGCCCTCTGACACACGCCCTCTGCCACACGCCCTCTGACACACGCCCTCTGCCACACGCCCTCTGACACACGCCCTCTGACACACGCCCTCTGACACACGCCCTCTGCCACACGCCCTCTGACACACGCCCTCTGACACACGCCCTCTGACACACGCCCACTGACACACGCCCTCTGACACACGCCCTCTGCCACACGCCCTCTGACACACGCCCTCTGACACACGGCCTCTGACACACGCCCTCTGACACACGCCCTCTGACACACGCCCTCTGCCACACGCCCTCTGACACACGCCCTCTGACACACGCCCTCTGACACACGCCCTCTGACACACGCCCTCTGACACACGCCCTCTGACACACGCCCTCTGCCACACGCCCTCTGACACACGCCCTCTGACACACGCCCTCTGACACACGCCCTCTGCCACACGCCCTCTGCCACACGCCCTCTGACACACGCCCTCTGACACACACCCTCTGACACACCCTCTACCACACGCCCTCTGCCACACGCCTCTGCCACACACCCTCTACCACACGCCCTCTGACACACGCCCACTGACACACGCCCTCTGACACACGCCCTCTGACACACGCCCTCTACCACACGCCCTCTGACACACGCCCACTGACACACGCCCTCTGACACACGCCCTCTGCCACACGCCCACGCCTACCAGCCGGCGGGACTGACCGTGTTAAAGCAGCCTTGGGTCCTCCAAGCATCGAGCACCACTGTATTGTAGTCGACATTAAGGTAACTGTAGTGGAGCTCCGCCATCTCCTGCAGTGCTGTTGGGCAGCTTGATCTGTGAGAGTAGGAGACGGAGGCCTATGTTAGTGTGTTGTGTGATGAGCAGGTAGGTCAGTGTGTTGTGTGATGAGCAGGTAGGTCAGTGTGTTGTGTGATGAGCAGGTAGGTCAGTGTGTTGTGTGATGAGCAGGTAGGTCAGTGTGTTATGTGATGAGCAGGTAGGTCAGTGTGTTGTGTGATGAGCAGGTAGGTCAGTGTGTTATGTGTTGAGCAGGTAGGTCAGTGTGTTATGTGATGAGCAGGTAGGTCAGTGTGTTGTGTGATGAGCAGGTAGGTCAGTGTGTTATGTGATGAGCAGGTAGGTCAGTGTGTTATGTGATGAGCAGGTAGGTCAGTGTGTTATGTGATGAGCAGGTAGGTCAGTGTGTTATGTGATGAGAAGGTAGGATAGTGTGCTATGTGATGAGCAGGTATATCATGAGGTAATCTGGAGATGATTTCGGGGCTTTAGTGTCCACGCGGCCCGGTCCTCGACCAGGCCTCCGCCCTCAGGAAGCAGCCCGTGACAGCTGACTAACACCCAGGTACCTATCTTACTGCTAGGTAACAGGGGCATAGGGTGAAAGAAACTCTGCCCATTGCTTCTCGCCGGCGCCCGGGATCGAACCCGGGACCACAGGATCACAAGCCAGCGTGCTGTCCGCTCGGCCGACCGGCTCCAAACATTATTGCCAACAGCATTTGGTGTTCCCAGACGGTCACTTATCCAAGTACTAACCAAACCCAACGTTGCTTAACTTCGCTGATCGGACGAGAAGCGGTGTTCTCAACGTGGTATGGCCGTTGGCAGGTCAGGTCAGTGTGTTATGTGATGAGCAGGTAGGTCAGTGTCTATTAAGTGAAGAGCAGGTAGGTCAGTGTGTAATGTGATGAGCAGGTAGGTCAGTGTCTGTTATGTGAAGAGCAGGTTAGTCAGTGTGTAATGTGATGAGCAGGTAGGTTAGTAACTTATGTGTTGAGCAGGTAGGTCAGTGTGTTATGTGATGAGCAGGTAGGTCAGTGTCTGTTATGTGAAGAGCAGGTTAGTCAGTGTGTAATGTGATGAGCAGGTAGGTTAGTAAGTTATGTGTTGAGCAGGTAGGTCAGTGTGTTATGTGATGAGCAGGTAGGTTAGTAAGTTATGTGTTGAGCAGGTAGGTCAGTGTGTAATGTGATGAGCAGGTAGGTTAGTAAGTTATGTGTTGAGCAGGTAGGTCAGTGTGTTATGTGATGAGCAGGTAGGTCAGTGTGTTATGTGATGAGCAGGTAGGTCAGTGTCTGTTATGTGAAGAGCAGGTTAGTCAGTGTGTAATGTGATGAGCAGGTAGGTTAGTAAGTTATGTGTTGAGCAGGTAGGTCAGTGTGTTATGTGATGAGCAGGTAGGTTAGTAAGTTATGTGTTGAGCAGGTAGGTCAGTGTGTAATGTGATGAGCAGGTAGGTTAGTATGTTATGTGTTGAGCAGGTAGGTCAGTGTGTTATGCGATGAGCAGGTAGGTCAGTGTCTGTTATGTGAAGAGCAGGTTAGTCAGTGTGTAATGTGATGAGCAGGTAGGTTAGTAACTTATGTGTTGAGCAGGTAGGTCAGTGTGTTATGTGATGAGCAGGTAGGTCAGTGTGTTATGTGATGAGCAGGTAGGTCAGTGTGTTATGTGATGAGCAGGTAGGTCAGTGTCTGTTATGTGAAGAACAGGTTAGTCAGTGTGTAATGTGATGAGCAGGTAGGTCAGTGTCTGTTATGTGAAGAGCAGGTTGGTCAGTGTGTTATGTGATGAGCAGGTAGGTCAGTGTTTTATGTGATGAGCAGGTAGGTCAGTGTGTTATGTAATGAGCAGGTAGGTCAGTGTGTTATGTGATGAGCAGGTAGGTCAGTGTGTAATGTGATGAGCAGGTAGGTTAGTATGTTATGTGTTGAGCAGGTAGGTCAGTGTGTTATGTGATGAGCAGGTAGGTCAGTGTTTTATGTGATGAGCAGGTAGGTCAGTGTGTTATGTGATGAGCAGGTAGGTCAGTGTGTTATGTGATGAGCAGGTAGGTCAGAATGTTATGTGATGAGCAGGTAAGTCAGTGTCTGTTATGTGAAGAGCAGGTAGGTCAGTGTGTAATGTGATGAGCAGGTAGGTCAGTGTGTTATGTGATGAGCAGGTAGGTCAGAGTGTTATGTGATGAGCAGGTAGGTCAGTGTGTTATGTGATGAGCAAGTAGGTCAGTGTGTTATGTGATGAGCAGGTAGGTCACTGTCTGTTATGTGAAGAGCAGGTTGGTCAGTGTGTAATGTGATGAGCAGGTAGGTTAGTAACTTATGTGTTGAGCAGGTAGGTCAGTGTGTTATGTGATGAGCAGGTAGGTCAGTGTGTTATGTGATGAGCAGGTAGGTCAGTGTGTTATGTGATGAGCAGGTAGGTCAGTGTCTGTTATGTGAAGAGCAGGTTAGTCAGTGTGTAATGTGATGAGCAGGTAGGTCAGTGTGTTACGGCCCTCTCGGGACGCAACGGGGTTCTTACTCTGATGTAGTTAGAGGAAGATATATATCTGGCCCCAAGCCAGTAGAGGCTATCAAGGGATGCGATCCGTGACGCAAGTAACTTAAAGGGAGTAGGGAAAGAAAGGTAAGAACTTAATATAATATAATATAACCATCACCATTTAAATATATAAAAGTAAAACGTACACAAGGGGGAGGGGTATTAACACTTTACAAAGGGGATCAACACTGTAGTCTTCTGCTGGAGACTATGGATCCTCGAAGCTAGGTGCTGAGTCCGCGGTGCTTTCTTCGTGGCCTCAAGACGTGTCCTCTTAGAACGCCGAGCCTACCCTGGCCACAGGTCAGCCACAACACAGGTCCACTGGGGGCACCGTCGTGGAGGCCGTCAACCACACGTCCAGCAGGTCTGCTGGCAGGTACTGAGCCACCAAGGCTGGTACGGCCACTCCACGAACGATAAAAGGGGTACGCCCTAGACAGGAGTCTCGTGTGATATCACCAATCACCCTCCTGTCCTCAATACCCCAGTGGATTATCGTCTCCAACCGTCGGTCCCGGGTAAATCCTTCCACTGCCACTCCACTGGCAGGCTTAACACACCACAGTGTTCTTCCGGGGGGACGACGTCACAAAAGCTGCAGCAAACTTCACTGTATGGAGACTGGCTGCCTCGGGTAGACTGACTCCACCTTCAACACAGTGGTCCCAGGTCGGCTCTGTAAGCAGACACGTCATCAATGACTGGGACACTAATACACCACACTCACAGGCTCAGATACTAACACCTGACGTATCCAGTCCATAGATGGCGCTGTCGTCGGAGCACCACCTCACCAGAGGTCAGGAGCGGCGGTGTTGAGCGCTGAACCAGACTGGAAACTGGTCCTCGAGGCCAGTACACGCTGTCCTCACTAGGTGTCGTCGTTCGTTTGGCGGGGGTTTCGGGAGCTGACCCACAGATGGCGTGTTTGTCACTGCTCCAGGCTCGGACGTTGGATCCGGGTTCGTAACACAGTGTCTGTTATGTGAAGACCAGGTTGGTCAGTGTGTTATGTGATGAGCAGGTAGGTCAGTGTTTTATGTGATGAGCAGGTAGGTCAGTGTGTTATGTAATGAGCAGGTAGGTCAGTGTGTTATGTGATGAGCAGGTAGGTCAGTGTGTAATGTGATGAGCAGGTAGGTTAGTATGTTATGTGTTGAGCAGGTAGGTCAGTGTGTTATGTGATGAGCAGGTAGGTCAGTGTTTTATGTGATGAGCAGGTAGGTCAGTGAGTTATGTGATGAGCAGGTAGGTCAGAATGTTATGTGATGAGCAGGTAAGTCAGTGTCTGTTATGTGAAGAGCAGGTAGGTCAGTGTGTAATGTGATGAGCAGGTAGGTCAGTGTGTTATGTGATGAGCAGGTAGGTCAGAGTGTTATAGTGTGTAATGTGATGAGCAGGTAGGTTAGTATGTTATGTGTTGAGCAGGTAGGTCAGTGTGTTATGTGATGAGCAGGTAGGTCAGTGTGTTATGTGATGAGCAGGTAGGTCAGTGTGTTGTGTGATGAGCAGGTAGGTCAGTGTGTTGTGTGATGAGCAGGTAGGTCAGTGTGTTGTGTGATGAGCAGGTAGGTCAGTGTGTTGTGTGATGAGCAGGTAGGTCAGTGTGCAATGTGATGAGCAGGTAGGTCAGAGTGGTATGTGATGAGCAGGTAGGTCAGTGTGTTGTGTGATGAGCAGGTAAATCAGTGTGTTGTGTGATGAGCACGTAGGTCAGTGTGTTGTGTGATGAGCAGGTAGGTCAGTGTGTTATGTGATGAGCAGGTAGGTCAGAGTGTTATGTGATGAGCAGGTAGGTCAATGTGTTGTGTGATGAGGAGGTAGGTCAGTGTGTAATGTGATAAGCAGGTAGGTCAGTGTGTGTGTTATGTGATGAGAAGGTCAGGTCAGTGTGTTATGTGATGAGCAGGTAGGTTAGTGTGTGCTATGTGATGAGCAGGTAGGTTAGGGTGTGTTATGTGATGAGCAGGTAGGTCAGTGTGTAATGTGATGAGCAGGTAGGTCAGTGTGTTATGTGATGAGCAGGTAGGTCAGAGTGATATGTGATGAGCAGGTAGGTTAGTGTGTGTTATGTGATGAGCAGGTAGGTCAGTGTGTTATGTGATGAGCAGGTAGGTCAGTGTGTAATGTGATGAGCAGGTAGGTCAGTGTGTTATGTGATGAGAAGGTAGGATAGTGTGCTATGTGATGAGCAGGTATATCATGAGGTCATCTGGAGATGATTTCGGGGCTTTAGTGTTCCCGCGGCCCGGTCCTCGACCAGGCCTCCACCCCCAGGAAGCAGCCCGTGACAGCTGACTAACACCCAGGTACCTATTTTACTACTAGGTAACAGGGGCATAGGGTGAAAGAAACTCTGCCGTTGGTTCTCGCCGGCGCCCGGGATCGAACCCGGGACCACAGGATCACAAGCCAGCGTGCTGTCCGCTCGGCCGACCGGCTCCAAACATTATTGCCAACAGCATTTGGTGTTCCCAGACTGTCACTTA